GTAAAACGTCGGTTTGTGTCCGCAAACAAACCAGTGCCTTTATGCTCTGCTCAGAACTCCTTTAAGTGAGAGCGTGCCAAGTGCAGAGTCTGGAGGCTGACTCTGGGTGCTGCAGCGTTCCCTGCACTAATCAACAGTAAGAGTTGTCGCTGAATTTACTGTGATAAGCTTGGCTTAGGAGACGGTCATTCTGGAACCGTACGAAATGTGTTTAGCCTGAAAGCAGAAGTATCTGGTAACCCGGAAATACACGGGAGCTCCAGCACAGGCTTTTTGCAGGTTGATACACGCATCGAAGGAGCATCTAACATGATAAGGACTTCAGTCCTAGCCACTGGATAAAAGTTACATTGTCCCCTTAATGTTATAAGATTACCTAATTTAAAAAAACTGACAGAGAAAACCCACAACAAAATCACAAGAACAGACCCACTCCCCAGCGAACATCCAAAAAAAGCCCAAGGTGTGGGATGTGCAAATGCCTGTCTCTGTAGGAGCACAGTTACTTCCATATGAAGAGTTAATGACTGAAGAGGTGTGATGAATAACTTAGTATTTTGGTGGGGGATTTTTTAAACCCATAGAGGAAGTGGGTGCAGCTCTTAGAGTTCCTGTTCGATACTGTTTTACTAGGATACCAGCAGTGTTCCAGCTCAGACAGGCCGCTTTAAGGATTCTGCACGTACAGAAGTATGCTTTGATTTACAGAACCTGTTTTAATGTCAAAGCCCCTTGTGAAACTCTTGAGTGAGAGAGTTTAATCCAGTCTGTCCAGCAGAGGAAATGCCTGGTTTTTAGTCTCTTTTTAAACATTTAACCACAGTTTGTTTTCAAGCAACTGCTGGAACAATGAGCTTTGTGGATTTGTTCTGGAAGATAACTGATCCAGTATTTCCAGACTTCCACCCAGCTGTTACCAATGTGTGGATACTTGCATGGACACTAGGATACCAGTATGCCAACTAGGTTGCTAACCCACCAGAACTGGCTAAGCCGTTGTAGACAGCACTCGAAATAAAATATGCAGCTGAGTTCTATATCTTTGAAAGCTTCTCATCGCATGGTTTGCATAATCTAAGGACAAACAGAGATGAGCAAAATTAAAGACTACTTCTGTTTAAGGTTTTCTGTTAGTTACATGGATGCATTTGTTGCATATTGACTACGCTCTACCTGTAGTGAAAACAAGGCAATGATCAGCGGATGTATCTCAGATATGAAGAAGTATGTGATTGCTTTAACAACGACAAAGGATGCTAAATAGATATGCAATTATAGCCCATTAAGTTAGCTCATATGTCTACATTTCCCTGAGGCACTTGAGGAAAAGCAATTACTTCAGACTCATTTAATTCCATATTAAAAGGAGGGGATGGTCTTCATAGCTGAAAAGTGAACACTGTCAAATAACTCTAACTTCAGCTTGTCAGTCCAAGTATTTCTTCCAAAACAGTGAGAGGCCCAAAGAGCTGAAATGAAACACAGTAATGGAGTCAAATGTACAAAACTGTAGGGGCATGTATTAAGAATTGCCTTCCAGAATGAGCTAAGTCTCCTGTTTTGGAGGAAAGAGTGATCTAACATGTCAATGAGGGTATAAGAATCAAACTGAGAAGTCATGTAAGCCTTATTAGAGTGAAGTAATGATCATTGTGAACAACTGTTCTGAAAATCTGGTAAGAATTCAATTAGAAATAACTAAGCAATGTTCTAGCTTTTGGGAGCCTTTCTCCCAGCCTTGATAGAACAGGGGAGTGAAAGCAGCAAGACTCCTCACTGCTGTATTGGCCACTGAAATTCATTTCAGGCTATGCTATTAGGTCACTATTTGTGCTACTTAATACAGTTGTCTAGTTTGTCAGTGCAAGTTTGGTTTAGTTTGTTTTTTTTTTTTTAATAAGACTGAAATAACAAAATAAAAACCAAAAAACAGTGTACGGAAATTTTATTTCAACACTTTCTCTTTACAGATGAAAAAGAGAGGTTTGACCCTACTCAGTTCCAGGACTGTATTATTCAAGGTTTAAGTGAAACTGGCACTGACTTGGAGGCAGTAGCAAAGTTTCTTGATGCTTCTGGTGCAAAACTTGACTATCGCCGCTATGCAGAAACACTTTTTGACATCCTGGTGGCTGGTGGAATGCTGGGTAAGTCCCTTTGATGTGGCTGCTGTCAGCTTTATTCACGTGACTCTGCAAAAGCTCAATTTTCTTTCAGTGTAAAAACTCTGCTAAAGAGCCCGTTCAGTGTGTAGAACAGGGTTTAAGTTATCTGTGGTAAACTATGACCATCTTGGTGACTAAGCAATTACTATAGAAATGCTCTGTATACCCTCCTGCAGTTTTACTTGAGTCTGTTTGCATTCTTCAAAGTGTAGATTGTACAAATTTGGCTTAAAAAAAGATATATTGGATTGTTTGGCATTTTTTGTTGGTTGGTTGTGTGTTTGGTTGGTTTTTGTTGGTTTGTTTTTTGGTTTTTTTTTACCAAGTGTAGGTCAACTCCTTAGTCAAGTTCACTTCTGATGGTGTGAGGTGGGTGAAAGCTTGTTTCAGGTGTGTAGTCTATGGTCACAAGACCAGTGGAGTTGCCCTGAATGATTCTGACATTATCCTGTGCTTTGTGCATCCTGCCCTCTTATTTTGGAAAGGAAACTTGTTTACAGAAGAATCTGAGGTGCTCTTGGAAATGCTATTACAAATCATTTATTGTTGACAGTAGTAAGGTTATGGGCTCTAGCAGACATCAGGGAGTGAGAAATGAGAGAGTGGTTGAGTCAGCAGAAAACACAGGAAACTGAGGAAGTGAAATGTGATGACAAAAAGTCTTATAAACTCATGTACACGTGTGTAAAGAGCAAAGAGGAACAGCTGCTCACCTAACAGGTTGTAATTGTTATGATATGTGGGTTTACATTTAGGAGTCTTAACCAGTGCATATTGTGTTAGGAAGTGTTTCTTCATCAGTCAGATGAGGCCAGAATAAAAACTGACATCCTGTTGCCTTACCACCTTTTAATATTACTGTTAATACTCATCTCTGTTTTTAAAGCCATGTATCTGGCTAATAACATAAGGATCTCCATTGTATGTAGGATGGCACAGAAATCCATAATGAGGTGTTCTGGCAGTGAAGCTGGTGACCTGAATGCACTTTCATTAGTGAAGCAGCCTAAAAAAACCTCAAGTTTCAAACTTATCTCTGGGGCACTGAATTTTGAACATGCATCTCTACATGTTTCAATCCCCTATTGTGACTTACTGTGTCATGTAAAAGGCACTTACAAAGCACTATTGCTGCAGACATTAGAGACAGTTGCTATGATTAAGCAGTTTCAGTGGTTCCCTTTAAGAGAAGAGACGCTCACATGGCCATGTTAACTTAGTCACATGTAAACAAGATGTTTTGCCAATCCACTTAGCAGTAGAGGGCCAGAATATTTAAATATTCAAATCTAAGGTACTGATTTTAAAGTTCCACTGCAGCAGTGGAACAGATGGAAATGTAGGGATATCTTCAGTGGCCAGGTCATTCAGCATCATGAAACGACGATGTGTTGCATGTTTTGGGAATTGGAGTTCTTACTGTGGAGACTACTCGGTACTCTCCCTGGGGAGTAACACTACTAATGCTGAAATCCTCCTCCAGCCCCAGGTGGTACCTTGGCAGACGACATGACACGCACAAACGTCTGTGTATTTGCAGCACAGGAAGACCTAGAAACCATGCAAGCATTTGCTCAGGTTAGTTCTGAAATGAGTACAATTTAACTTAAAACTGTTTAGTGGTCAAAAATGAAATGTTTGTGTAGTTGAAAGTTTGAGTAAGAATAATATGTGGCTTTAAGAAGCATACTGGAAGTGGTAAGAGTAGCAGTGTTCTAAAAGTTCTCTGTAGAGTTCAGACCCACTTTACTGAACTTGGTTTTTTAAAATTGTAATTGAATGATAGTTTAGAGCAAAAAATAATATGCTCTGTGTCTTTTTAGGTTTTTAACAAGCTCATCAGGCGTTACAAGTACCTGGAGAAAGGCTTTGAGGATGAAGTCAAAAAGGTATGGAGTGGGTCTTTATCAGCAGACAAATAAACGTTCCAATTCTGCTAGTTAATCGCTGTAGAAGAGTTACAGCATAAAGTGGATTATTAAAATACAACACTTCTAAGTTTCTAATAAAAGAACAGCTAGCTGCTGTCACTAGTGGAGAAGACTACCAGTGCTTCTGCTAATTGAACAGTTTGACTGAAACAAAAGTGTTTAACACAGAGGCAGTGTCCAAAGTTTAGTGAGAAATGGTAGTTTTAGGGCAACTCTTCTTACTTTCTCTTGCAGTTGCTGCTGTTCCTGAAAGGGTTCTCAGAATCTGAGCGGAACAAACTGGCCATGCTGACGGGTATTCTGCTGGCCAATGGGACACTGAATGCATCAATTCTCAACAGTCTTTACAATGAGAACTTGGTTAAAGAAGGTAAGTGTTGCCCAACTCCTCCTTTAGGGGAAGAGGTGGGGGACAGAACCATGACAAGTAGGTGGGTATTACAATGACAATACTCCTTGCAGCTCTCTAGCTTCATCTGGTGATAGATTAACTACAGGATTAGCAAAGGTAAACATGCTGCCCCACAACCTGGAAGGTCTTGCTAAGACTTCAGAAAATGAGTTTTTTCAGAAAGCTTGTGTGTAGGGCTTGCCTGCATGACACTGGAGGCTGCCATCACTAGTGTTGCCCAGCGAGGCAGTTTTGTATTTTGGAGAGGGACTTTTCAGCCTGCAAAAGGTGTTTCTTCTGAAATTGCAGCAAGGAGAGTTGAGTTTAGTACAGGGAAGACTTCACGTCGCTGAATGGTAAGAGAAGTCCAGTGTGCTGGAGGCTGCAGTATCCTCAGGCAGAGGGGTTCTGCAGACTGTGCTAGGGTTGTTGGGAGCAGAGCTGCTGCTGCTCTGAGCAGGGGTCTGACAGACTAGGTGCCCTGAACTCGGGCCTTATGATTCCCTTTGTTTTTTGTTTTTAGTACTGTCACTAAAAACAGTACTATTCTTATTGCACAGGTGTTTCTGCAGCTTTTGCAGTCAAGCTGTTCAAATCATGGATAAATGAGAAAGATATTAATGCAGTGGCTGTCAGTCTTCGCAAAGTAAACATGGATAATAGACTGATGGTGAGTACCACTGAAATTACTCTCTTACTGCTTAAGCCAGTTTAGTAAAATAGCATTTGCCAGCAAGGTACTCAACACACATTTCTTTCACAAAAAAGTTGTAAACTTTGTTTTCAGGAACTCTTCCCAGCCAACAAACAAAGTGTTGAACACTTCTCCAAGTACTTCACTGAAGCAGGACTAAAAGAACTTTCTGAGTATGTTCGGAACCAGCAATCCATAGGAGCTCGGAAGGAGCTGCAGAAAGAACTGCAGGAGCAGATGTCGCGGGGAGATCCGTTCAAGGATGTAAGTGTTTGTCTGGAGATGAGGTGGAGGTGTTCTGTGTGTGTGTCTCTCATACTGAATTTAGCTCTCACCAGGAATTAAAATTAGGACCAGGGGATTTTGATATTAGCGTTGTAGTCTTTCCTTAATGTCCTGAATTCTGCTGTATGATGGATGTTGTGTGTGGTTCTGAAACCTTCTGGGTTACCTTCAGAACAGAAGGTTTAATTTAGCTTAGTGCCATATGTGGTCTTTGTGCTGACTCTTACTTAACTGGCAGATCATCTTGTACGTGAAGGAGGAGATGAAGAAAAACAACATCTCGGAACAGACTGTGGTAGCCATAATCTGGTCAAGTGTAATGAGCACGGTGGAATGGAACAAAAAGGAGGAGCTGGTAGCGGAGCAAGCCATTAAGCATTTGAAGGTATTGTAACTTCACTATGGACTTCTGCACCCCTTGGGTAGGGCTTGTGCTTCCTTCTGTCTCGAGCTCCCTTTTAAGTGTTAAAGCCTTGTAACAACCCTGCTAATGCAGAGACAGCATTAGATGGGGAATTCTTTCTCTTGTATTGCAGAGAGTATTACAGGCCAGGTTCCTGGGGCAGAGGCAGCATGGCTGCTGCAGGAGCACCCTGGGGTGGGGCAGTGGTTGCAAATTTCATAAGCAGTGGCTGATGGAGACTGTGAAACCAGCCTAGTCAGGCAGTACATGTGGAGTGTTCTGCGTGTGCCAATTTGTTGTTCTTGTTACAGCAATACAGCCCTCTACTTGCTGCCTTCACCACCCAAGGTCAGTCAGAGCTGACTCTTCTGTTGAAGATTCAGGAGTATTGTTATGACAACATTCACTTCATGAAGGCCTTCCAGAAAATAGTGGTGCTCTTCTATAAAGGTAACTTGTGCGAGGTTGTAGTTTTGGAGTTTTGTGGGGTTTTTGAGGGGTTGTTTTGGCTAGGTGGGTGTTTTGGAATTTCTGAAGCAGAATGCTTCAGTCCTAGTAAGTCCTTTAGGGAAGATCGGTGTTACAACATTGCGCTTCCTAAGCTGAAGAATTTTCTACCTTCTGTTTGCAAAAAGGGAGCAGTAAAATGCAAAGGTGCCTGTGGCTGGTCCTTGGGACATGGGGAAGTACACCTCCAGACAAAGATGCTGCCTGTCTAGTGTAGATCTATTCAAGAGTTGTAATAGTTCAAAGCTAAATTTTGATTTTAAGGCACTTTGTCCCTTTTAAGTTAGGGAAAGATACATGACTGTATTCTTCTTAGTGCTCTTAACATTGACTGTGAACCGCCATAAATGGAGACTACCACCATGTTCTGGGGTGTTGTAGGCTCTTTTTAATGTCTGATAAAAGGTGTTACTGAAAAACATGCTGTGCAGCTGTGGAGACTTGTTAACTGAAGATTATATTGTAACATTTTAAAAACAGCTAAACACTTCCTGTGGTGTACTTTTGATGTTAAAGAATTTGTATCTGTTCTTAGCTGTTAACTGAAACTGTCCTTAGAGTGTGTGCCATCTCAAATAACTCTGAAATACCCCAGACTGTTAGTGTGAAAGTGTGGCTCCTAGATGCAGTACTCAGGAAAATCCCAGCAGCCAATCCAAAATGCAGGGCTCTCAGAATTTTAAAACAGGAGCCTCTCCTGGTGCAGGTCTGTCCAGCTGTACCCACAGAATGAGCATGTGATGCTTCTGGGGGGGGAAGCAAAGGCTGCCAGTCGGGGGTTCTCACTACTCTTGCACATCTTACAGCTGAAGTTCTGAGTGAAGAACCCATCTTGAAGTGGTACAAAGATGCACATCTTGCTAAAGGAAAGAGCGTTTTTCTGGAGCAGATGAAAAAGTTTGTTGAATGGCTCAAGAATGCTGAAGAAGGTGAGCAGCAGCTTAGTTCACAAGTGGAGCTTGTTCATTTTGGGAACCTGATGCAATAACACTGTATGGCCAAGGGTGGGGATTTTAAATTGCCTCTCTAAGGCAAGAGTGCCTCCTACCCTGGTACTGGCTAGAAAAGCTTGCCTGTGAAATCCATGTGGATCCAACAGCAGCTTTTATGCAGGAAGCAGGGCAGCAGTGAGCTTGGGGCTGGGGGCTGACCTATGGGCAGGCTGCTGACGAGGTGTCTCTGTTGCAGAGTCGGAGTCTGAAGCTGAAGAAGGTGACTGACCTGAGAAACTCTGTCCTCAGTAAAGCAAACAGGAGCTGTAGATAAGTGTCATGTCTCATGTGTCCTTCTGATTCTTACATCCTACCTCCCTGTATCAAGCATGATATAAGGGCTCTCATGGCAATTTATTTTAACTGTTTTCTATAGTTATTGAAATACTGGATTTAGTTTTTAAAACCATGTTCAAGTAGCTTACTGGAGCTGTTATAGATTTGACTCTAACCTGCATTTGTCCTTTCAGTTACCTTCTACCTCCTGTATTTTCTACTGTAATAATGTCATTTAAAGCCTTCCACAGTGAAATCCACCTTACCCCTTGGGATTTCTATCTGTATTGGAGTAGATGTGATATGGTGAATGAGACAGGGCAGTTCTGCTTGCAGATTAAACTGTAAAAAGTCTCCAAGTGAATCAACCATGGCTTGTGTGGCACTGCAGTCTGTAACACTTACTCCAACTAGCCCCTTTCATCAGTGGCTGTCCATGTCCCCAAGTACTTTGTCATCCCTTTACTAGACTTCCAGCATAAAGCAATCCTCTATTCCAACTCCAGGGTGAGGTGGGTGCCCCACTCCTGCAAAGCCATTGGAAGGAAGCTGTTGTGGCGGCAGTGATTGGTAACTGTGTAGGACATGAAGAGTGGCATCTCTGAGCCTGCTGGCTGTCACAGCTGGTGGCCTGTGTTCCTGAGGGGCTGTCAGGCGCCCTTGCGGCTGAGCATCAGTTCTGGGGGTGCCTTTCCCTTTCCCTCGTGGAAGTACAAGCAGTGCTGTCCCATATACAGCTTTCTCGAGCTGGGCGATGCTGCTGGCTGGGGGGGGCAGCTTCTTTGTGCTGCTCTGTAAATGCATGGCTGCTGGAAGCTAAGACAGCCAAAACTCCACCTCTCAAAGTTTAAAGATTCTTTTATGCTGGCAGTTGATGTGCTAAACCAAACAGCTTATCTGCTCCCTGAAACTTTAATTCCTAATGGAAATTCTCAGGACAGTTCAATTCAGAAATATTGGGTCAAAGAGTGAAGTCTATACTGTTGTAAGCTAAGTGAGCATTAACTGAAATACTGGTAACCAGAGTACACCTAATAAAATAATGAAAAAATTGGTCATCACAATGCAATCTGTTCAATACTACAGTGATCTTCCTTACTTTGTAACTTTTTTTTTAAAGCAAATAAAGGCCATCCTTACACTTACTGTCAAGGGATGTCTCTGCTCCTTATCCAAAAAGAAAGCAACAGTGACACTAAAGGGTAAAAAGCAGGTCTTCTGCTATTTCAAGGACCATTGAATAAAACATAATTAAAATAATACTTCCTTGGTGTTAGGGTGCTCTTTTCCATATGTTAAAAGTGCCAGTGTCCCACAAGTTCGATTTAATGAGAAAACATAACCAGGTTCATCAATATACTAAATCAGTTTGATGTCAACAGCTGGATTGAACTTAAGTATCCAAAAAGTATCCAAAATACTAAGCAAAGCATTTACGACATAAAGTATTTACAAAATAACCAAGTAATAAGTAGTCAATGGCATTCATTTCTTTGTTGCACTGCCCTGTGAGTCAGCCTGCTTGGCTTCAGAAGCCTGCACCCTTTTTCTGCGTGTCTGGGCAGAAGAGAGGCTGCTGCAGTGCTTCTTTAAGAGAAATGCAGTTGTTCGGGTCATACTCCAGCGTCTTCTGAACAAGGTCAAAGAGGTTCTTTGTGGTCGGAATCCTAGCACATCATTATGAATTCATTCATGAAAATTAAAGATGTTCTGTTGTTTATCTTATAATTGCACTTGAAGCTCCTCTCCACAAAAGCATTTCCCCTCTCTCACCTTCAGTGGCTTACAGTGTGTTGATATATATATATATGCCTGCAGGACTCTGTTCATCCCAACCCAGCTGGCCAGCACAGAAACATCTGTGTTTCCCTAGACAAACAGAACATAGTCTATTATTCAAAATTCTGTGTTGTCCCTTCAGTAGAAGTTTACCAGTTGTTTGCTCATAACCTGGGAATTGATCTGGGAATATTCCACAAGAGTGGCCAGCTTGTTAAATACAGCAAAAGGATGATTCCATGGTTATTAAACTTTTTTTTAGAAAGTTTGCTTTTAAACCTAATCTGAAAATATTTAAACTGTAGCAATCCAGCTTTTCTTTTATCATGTGATACAGCAACGGCTGCAGCATTTGCTTCATCATTGCCAGGTGGTTTTTTTGCCACACCTCTGAAAGAAAATCAAGAGACGGTTTTATTCGCATAACAAATAAAGCAAAAAGGAAGCATCCTGACAGTTCACAGGTCTGCAGGTCTGATATCTGTCTAATGTGATCCAGCTTAAATCTCTTCAATGCAAGTCAAAGATGCTGAGTCCCACGAGCTCAGAAACAATGCATATGTTTGTCTGTGGTGCTCAAACCATTTCAGCATCTGGGCACAGTGAGTACAAAGGCAGGAACGAGACATGATTTGCAACAGTTTTATTAGCACTCAGACATGTATTTCCCATGTTACAGAAAGTGAGGTCACAGAAATCGTAAAGCCGAAACAAAGTAAAAGGTGGCTTTTTATACTCACAGTGTACTGCTGGGACCCAGTGCCGGTAAATATTCCAGTACTAGGACTTCCTAAGTTGCATCAGAGCAGCCACCATCGTTTTTGACTGTTTTCACAGATACATGTTTGCCTCTTCTGAAGAGACCGGTGGAATAGTGATTATAACAGTGACTAGTTTTAATTAAGAATATTCAGGTATACATTGTTTATAACAATGGCAACCTTACCAGAAAAGGTTGAGTTTTTTTTACTACATGCTGACAATATAACCCAAGTTCATCTATGCATAAATACAACTAAAATTTCATATTTAAATTCTGAAAACATACTTGATCCCGTATATATCAGTATTGTTCTCAGAGGTTAGAAGTCCCACCTACTTCCCCACTGTATTTATGTATGCTGGGCTAATACTGGAGGAACTTCCACATCTCACAGCCTTACACAACAGTCAGTCAAAAGTGACCAGCCTTCTTCAGTTGTTAAGTAGTAAAAATGTTAACTGAGGTTTCAAGTGCCTTCTACAGTGGCTAGAAAGACAATCTTGTTGCCTACTACCTTGCACATAGTAAAACTGCCATAAAACACAAAGTACATTCCTGATTTGCAAGACTCACTGACAGAATCCAAACAGCATTGCATCACCACAGGCTAAGGTTTAAGCTACATGGTGCCAGACAGCTTTCTCATTACACAGGCCTGGGGTGGTCCAGGCCCCAGGATTGCCCAGTGTGGGTGGGGTGCAGCTTCACCCCACATTGTCCTGGTCACCAACCTCCATCAGCCCTCATCCTCTTAACAGGCCTCAGCCACCAGTCCTGCACAACTCTCCTGTCTAAGTGCTGCTTTCAGCATGTTGTACTAACATAATTAGTGCTTGGGAACTGTGGCAGCCATAAAGAAATACTTTACAGCCTACAAAGATGCAATCACCAAGCACTTTATGAACCCCACTGTGACAGCATCGATAAGAAAAATTACATGTATTTAATGAAAGACTTACGCTTTGCGATTGATGCATTCCACTACTCGAGAAGTACCTTCACCCAAAACAGCAACAATCTCATCTATAAAGGAAAGAACTCTCAGTCATAAGCTGTGAAGTTATTCAGCTATTAAAAAACCGAATCAAACAAAAACAGATTTAAGTACTACCACTGAAGCTGTTCTAGACTGTGCTTCTTTAAATTGTAATTACCCAGTTTACAATTGTTATTGTTGCTGTTATTGGACAACTCTCATCAAAGCATATTTAAGGGGCAAAAAGGAAAAAATAAACAAGTAATGTACTCAAGTTTTACAGAAAAAGAGTAACAATCCCCACCCCTAAACAAAAAAAAAGGACAGAAAGAAAAGCCTTCCAAAGCTCCTCATATCTTATGCTAAAAGAATTTTTTTGCATTGGGTTTCTGTGGCCAGGTTTTAGTAGCTGGGGGACTACAGGGGTGGATTCTGTGAGAAGCTGCCAGAAGCTTCCCCCATGTCTGACAGAACCAATGCCAAGTGGCTCAAAGATGGACTGCCGTTGGCCAAGGCTGAGCCAGTCAGAGATGACAGTAACTCCTCTGGGATAACATTTGAGAAGGAAAAAAAGTTATTGCACAGACATAATTACACTCAGAGAAGAGAGGAGTAATAATATGTGAGAGGAGCAGCCCTGCAGACACCAAGGTCAGTGGAGAAGGAGGGGAAGGAGGTGCTCCAGCCACCGGAGCTGAGGCTCCCCTGCAGCCCGTGGTGCAGCCCATGGGGAGGCAGCTGTGCCCCTGCAGCCCATGAAGGACCACAAGGGTGCAGAGATTCCACCTGCAGCCCATGGAGGAGACGCACGCCAGAGCGGATAGATGCCTGAAATAAGGCTGTGATTCTATGGGAAGCCTGTGCTGGAGCAGGGTCCTGGCAGGACCAGGAAGGAGGAAGGGGTGGGGGAAAATTGCTTTTAAGATTTTACCTCTCATTATCGTGCTCTGATTTTGACTGGTAATAAATTCAGTTGATAACCCAAAGTTGAGTCTGTTTCACCAATGATGGCAACTGGTGAGGGATCTCTCCCTGTCCTCTTCTCAATTCAAGAACCTTTTGTTACATTTTCTCTCCCCAGTCTGGTTGCAGAGGGGACTGATGGAGAGGCTTTGGTGGCCACCTGCACCCAGACAGGGTCAACCCACCACATCTTATCAAAGAGTTCAGAAATTTTGAAAAATATTCTCTACATCTTGCACTTAGTAGGCTCCTCTCTGACAGAGCAGGTGACTCTGCATTACGCTCTGCACTCCTGGATCTTTCCAAATGGCACCACAATCATGCAGCTCACCCGAGTGAATGCAGGTCAGAATACACAATTCATTCAGCAGGGCATTCAGATACACACCAGGCCACAAACAGATGACAGGAACAATTTCAATATCAGTCCCCAGAAATTCACAGGGCACATAGTTAATGTTACAGGAGAAAAACATGGCAAGGAACAGATTTTCAGATGAAACTCAGAGTAGCAAGGCAACAAAAAATTACAATTGATTTTCTTTTAAAAGACTGGTTCGCTGAACTTTACTTCATTATTTCATGGCCCCTATTTTTTTCTTAAACCAAACAGATTTAATAATGATCTTTTACACAAACATATATATATGTATATAAAATAGCCTTGTGGCCAAATTAAAATACCCATCTTAAGCAATCAAGATTAAATCACTTGTATGAGTATTTGGCAAGAAGTTATTTTTTTTAATCATAAATACCATATACATTTACTTTGTGCTGTCTTAGCTGAAGATCTTAACTTATAATTCCAATCTTAGCTTTAACAGTTAAATATAAAACAAAGATCAGAAAAACCACTCTCCTAGTGGATGGACATCATTCATATCCGATTCTACACATTTCTCACTGATACTTAGAAAAGTAAATCTGACATTACAACCTCTCTATTTCAGTGATACTTAGTCAAAATCAAGTTTAGAAACTTGTCCTTGGATTTTCAAGTAGGGCTTAAATAAATGCTTGTCATAATAAAAAATTTGAAGTCAGGAAAGTGATGCCTGTATTTCAAGTACTCCAACTGATGGTTATTCTTCATTAATCTGCTCAAATATATTCAGTGAACAAATAGCAAGACCATGTTCTGTGATATCACAAGCATACGTACAAACTATACATTTTCACTGAAGGAAATACAATCCTAGCAAAAAAGAATAGCTACTAATATGATCTAAAGGAATAAACTATTACCAACAGAATTTCCCAACCTCCCACACTCAATTACTACTGCCCAGATGAGAATCTATCTTCTTAAAAGTAAAAAAAAAAACCAAACAAACAACAAGCTAAATTAAAATTGGTCATATCACCTGCGGAGGATGAGGATGACAACTAGTATAATATGTCTTGTATTTCCTTTTGCTACCAACTGTCACATTAAGACCAGATCTCTGGCTACTCTGATGTCCAGTGTCACATCCTTGCTTGAACTCGTGACTGCATCCTTCAAAACTGCGTTTTGGATGACAGCCTCTCATTTACAGATTCGGTTTCTCAATCACTACTACAAAAAATGATCCAGTAAACGTAATTAAAATCATTCCAGTGCCCCTATGAAGACAGCTTTTTGTTTTAAGCTGTAAGACATCTCTCTTGAAATACCTCCAACTCAAAAATTAATCCATTATCAGATCACCTGACAAGAATAATAAAATCTTGAAACACATGCTTGCTGATATCAGAAGTTCAAAAGCTATTTACCGGTCAGGAGTTTCAGAAAGATCAAGTTTGCAGCACTTTTTCTCCTGTGCACTTCTGAACGGTGGGCCTTTTCCTTCTCAGCATTGTAGCAGCTTCTCCAAAGTGGTCTTTTTCTTTTATCCCGATCAGGGCAATTAGTTTGTCTGCAATTCCCCAGCTGTAACAAAGATATTTTACTCTTTTAATTACATCCCATAAACAAACGATTCACTTTCAAAGCCATTGATCACCAAATTTACAGTATAATGAAAATTGCATTTTTCCTCAACCCCCAATTTCCATGTTTTTTCCCTCTGCTCTTCCCTCTACATCATTTTTTTATTCAAGACCTTTTTCAAATTAACTGTTTTTGATAGGGGAACATAAACCAGTAACCTACTCCTTAAAAAAAAGACTTTTTAAAAAAAGACGCATCGTGGCTCAACACTGTGGAGCTGCTCAGGCTCCCAATGCTGCATACCCTAGGAGAAAGAAAGGCTTCTGTGTACTTAACACGGCACACAGTTACTGCACACTGGGTTTTTGAGGACTTAAAGGAACTGCTTCTATAGATTCCCGAAGAATTCCTGATGCTAAGTCAGAATGACAATAAACCCCCGGTTATCTCCCTGGTACTCAGCTCCCGGAGGAAAAGCGAACTCATTCGCTACCCGTCTTTTATTTCCCTTTCCAAGAGTCACCTGATTCCCGCGCCCAGGCCACGCCTCAGGCCGCCCCCGCCGGGCTCCGTCGCGGCGCCGCAGGGCTGGAGGGCGGAGCGGGGCCGCTCCCGCTCTCGGGCAGGGGGAATGCGCGGGGTCGGGTCCCCGAATCCCCGCTCCAGAGGCTCCGCGCTCGGGCCGAGCTGGGGCACGGGGAAGGGCTCCAGCCTCCCCCGCCAGAGCGGCCGAGGCCATTTTCTCCCCGCCCGAAGAAAGCGCAGAGAGAACATGGCGGCCGGCGGGTGAGGGGGAGACTCGGAATTGCGAAGTGGTCATTTTCACCCTTAGTGATAACGCTGTTAATCGTCTCTTAACTTTTTTTACACATTGTTAGTGGTTGTCAAAGCATGTGCATGTACCCAGTCAGCTTTAAATCAGCAGGGGTTTAACGGATCACATATGACTAATAAAGATGTCTTTGCAAATAACTGGCATAAGGAAAAACTTTTCCGAAGAGTTGAATCCTCCTTTTTTTTTTTTTCCCTTCTTATGCCATGTGGTATCTTTTACTAGCTCTGAATCATGTTTTCCAGTCTGGAGGGGAACATCAATCTAGCCCTGGCTTCCCCTCCTGCTGCTACTGCACACAGGGCACTGTGCCTGAAATCTGGCGTTGAAAAACCCATAATAAGCAGTCAAACAGCTCAAGTGTAATCTAATTTATGGGGAAACAGAGCACCTAAGGATAAAACAGTCCTGAAACACTACAACAGCCTATACACATCACTTCCCTAAAACCCAATTTATTTTTTTTATTTATTCTGAGAAGGACTAAACCTTCTGAAATACTTCCACCCCCGGTAAATTAAAAAAAAATACATTGACCCTGTGATCAACTTAGAATACATACATTACACATGTAAGTTTGTCACTGTTCGAAAATAATGCACCATTATTTTCTTCTTGTTCACTGCTCTCCAGCTTAGACTGAGTCTTGCTCCCAGCATGACCTACTACTAACACCAACTTTACCTATTGCCTTTCTAATGGCACCAAAGATCAGAGACTATCTAGAATATATGGGATGAGACCCTCCATCACAGTTATATTTTCTTTAAATAAGTAGACATTTCAGCAGAACTCATCTTGTGGCTGTAGTGTTTGTGATAAAGGACCAGACTGAAGGAAGCAAACAGAGTTTATAAAGCACAAGTGGACTACAGTAAGAATAGTACTGTCTGCAACATTTCTGCTATCTAAAGGATTATACTTGTCACAAAAGTCGAACAGCTGGGGACACATCAGTGGACTGTGTGCAAGAACTGAACTGCACGTATGCTGTACCCAGCAACGCACAGAGCCACACACTGCCACCACTGGGCTATTTCCTACACTGTCTTGCCTTTTCTTCAACAGGTGGCTGGGACCAACCCCACCCTTATTTTTCATGTTGAATTCCAAGTTCTCAGGGAGAACCTGGGAAACCTGGGAGAGGTTCAGAGCCACAAATAGGAAAACAGACATAATACAATTCTGAAAAGTTTGGATGTAATTCTGTCCCAAAAAGATCACTCTTCTTTCAATACACTGCATTAGATAAAAAAAAATCTAAAAACTCTAAAAAAATTTTTTTTTCCAAGTTGGTGCTAGATGTCAGCATTTTAAATTATTGGTTCCTTTGTAATGTAGGACATTTCTCAGCATGTCCTTCCTTCAAGTGTCAGTCAAACATGCACTTGCATGGTTCTGTCTACTTGCTATTGCCACAGGTTATAGGGAAGAGACAGAGCATGGAGCTAAAATTAAATCCTTTACCTGACTGACTGAAGTATTACAGTATATACACAGTACATATATATATATATATATACACACAGAGTATATACAGTCTGGAGCAAGGGCTGAGAGCTTAAGCAACACTCCATAAAGAATACAGAAACTTTGTCCCAGAGAGAGGGCACTGATTAACTCTGCTCATTAATGCCTCAGTAACCTGCACCTTTGCCTTTCTCTTCTAAGTAAGTTTTCCTCATTATTTTAAGAGGCAAAGTCTCAAAATGAGAAATAATGGTCTGAAGCAGACTGCAAATGAGCTGGCCTGGGCCTCTCAAGGATTACAAAGCATATATATGAGACTGGGCTTTGCTAAGGGATGTTAACTGAGTGTAAAGAGAACTGGGGGAAGTCCAAAATGGTAGGAGTAGGACGCAGGAACTGTGAGTACTCTTTCCTATCCAGGTCTCTTATGCGCAGTTAGAACTAGAAATAAACTCTCTCACCTCTACAGAATCTGAAAGTGCACCTCTGTGCAAAGTTGATTTTTTCCAGCTTTATGAAATTAAACTGATACTAAAATTTAATTTTATAATTACAACAAAGAAGAGCAGAACATTTTGCTTTTCCCAGTATGCCCAAGGTGGAGAACTCTTTTTTTGATGTGTACAAATTGCTCTTTTCCTGCTTAAGTCATTTTGTTTTGGGCATAGGATCAGCAATATACATATATACGCACTCATACACATCCATGTACTATAGTTTTTCTCTTGACCAGTCAATATTTAAAAACATCTGTACCTTCTTGCAGATTTTCTTATTTGAGTCCAATAACAATTGGTATCAGCTAAGACCAGCTCTCTCTTCCTTGTTCAAGCTCATCTGACCACAGCCTTTTTGACACTGCTCTTTGTTGTTTACCCCCTTGTATTGGGTCTGGCTGAGCTGGAGTTCATTTCCCCATAGCAGCCCTCACAGTGCTGTGCTTTGCATTAGGAGCTAGAAGGGTGTTGATAACACACCGGTGTTTTGGCTACTGGTGAGCACAGCATCACCACTGTAACATTCCTTCACCACTCGAGGGCAACATTCTGGGAGAGAACACAAGTAGGCCAGCTGACCCAAACTGACCAAAGGGATATTCCATACCATGACATCAGCTCAGATATAAAAGCTAAGGCAAGGATGTAGTGGGTTTGTTTCCTTTTCCTGGGAGGGAAAAGGGGGGGGGTATTAATTATCTCCAATAGCTGCCTGCCCTGCTTCTTGGAAGCAGATGGACATCGCTGCTCATGGGAAGTAGAGAATAAACCTTGTTTTTCTTTGCTTCGCTTTTGCGCGCGCAAGCTTCTGCTTTGCTTTTGCCTTAATAAACTGCCTTATCCCAACCCACGAGTTGTTTTTCATTTTACTCTCTGCTCTGTCCGGCTGAGAAGGGGAGTGACAGAGTGGCTGGGTGGGCACCTGGCATCCAGCCACAGTCAACCCACCACACCCCTACTGCTTCTGCAGTACAAAAAGTGATGAAAAACAGTTACACTAAATCCATGTTGCCTTGTTTCAATTAATGGCTATGTAAAGAAAATACTTACTCTTTCATACATATTAACAGAAATACCTTTCATACCTATAGCACTGTGCCAGAAGCAGAAGAAATTGTTTTCCATCTACCTTTTTGGGAGGTTGAAGAGGTTGCCATTTCAAGACAGCAGTACAAGAGCAAGCACTCTATGTATGTTCTTTAATCCTCTGGGAGAGAAAGGTTTCATCAATTTATGACACTGCTCTCACCTAGAAAATTGCATATCTTACTTTACTCTTTTGAGAAAATTGAGTAACAAAGGTTACAATTTACGTGAGAAAATTTCAGAAAACTGGTAGCATGAAATTATAGCAAAGAACATTGTTTTAACATAGAATCACTAAGAAAGACAAGGCAAAACTCGAAGATTTGCAAAAATACTTTAAAAGTTTTTTTTTATTTTACAAGTATAAAAAGCAATGTTTAAAAATCAAAATCCTGGCTGATACTCTGGAAAACCCTGCTTCTGAAGCACAAGATTTCTCTTTGACAACTCCAAAACAATGTCACAGCTCCTGAAAATTATGCATTCAGTGAGCAAACTTACTTGATCCAGCTGAAGTAACCCTTTTTAATGGCTCCATAAACCCCATGATCTGGGAGTTGATTTGACCAGTCTCTAAAGAATGTGTTGAGGCCTCTGTGGCTACAGAGCAAAAGGGTTGGCATGGATTGTAATATCTTTGATACGAACATCATTAAGAGGTCGGTAGGTTTTCTCATTCACAGGCAGCTTCTCCAGCTCATCCAGGGTCTCCAAGCCATCAATAACTCTGCAAGAAAAACAGAAGTGCTAGAAATCTCCTCCTAATAATGATTTAAATTTCACAATTGAGATATCTCAAAACACTTTACAGTTAAGTATCATAGGGCAAGGACTTTGCAAGCAAACGATGCAAATAAGACAGCCAAAACATTGTATGTGGCAAATAATGTACTTTGAAAGGAAATATGAAGCATCCATGATAGATTCTGAAAAAAAAGTACAAATAATTCCTGCTGACCTGACAGTATCATATTTTATACCAACCACAGCTGTATGAAGTTCCTGGCTGCACTTCCTGACAGGCAGGACTGACCAACATAGTACAGGCTTAGGTAGCAGCAAGATACTGGCCCTAGCAAACTTAAGTCAGAATTATTGAAATCTTATGTCTTGAAAATCAATATCCAAATCCCAGATTATAATTTCTAACCTTCTGACTCAAAGACAAGATTGGACAGAATCATTAACAACTGTTGTAAATCTAATGGCACAGATTTCCTGCTCAGACTGAAGAACTGGCAAGAGAGATTCTTCTACTAAAACCTCATATGTTTTTTGTTTAAGCAACTAGTTCTGGTAAATCTTGGCAGTTTATTCCCCAGAAACAGACTTAGAAGAAAACACATTGTGCTGTTCCACTCAGTCACTTTCATGAGCTCTTCGAATCCATGTTGCAGTGGATTGTGGGCCTGCAGGGACTGACTGTATATGCTGTTCTGTTGATTCTGCAGCTGAGGCAGGAGTACAGTCTCTACTTTTTTCTAAAAAAAGATATCTAAAAAACCCTACTTTCAATCACACTTCTAAACAAACTCAGAAATGAAAGGAACACCTATAGTTAGATGCCTACAAACAATACAAATGGTAGAAAATAAGTATTTTCACATTCCACAGTTTTTTTGAATATTTAACTGCACTTAATAAGGGTGCATTTTCTCAGCAGATTCACTTGTATGCTAGAGACTTTAAGAACAAACAAAAGACATTACCACAATTCTGAAATAGAAAAAGCCAATCTGAAAGACTCAAATATTTTAGATATTTGCTTAGAATATGATAATTTATCAGTAATGTTTATTAACATAAGTATATTTTAAAATAATGATGCAACAACCTCAGTTGATTTTATTAACTGTCAGTTCCATGAGTTTTATCTGGCCAACAGGAAATCCCACCTAAACAGAAGCATGACCTAGTCCCCAGATCCAGTCCCAAATCAGATTCTTGGTTCTCAGTAAACCCTACAACTGTATATCCAGATGTTCTGGAGTTTGCTTAAAATCAGGCTGCATCTATTTGGGAATGGATGAAAAGCCAAGCTGGAATAACTAGTGGGGGAGGGAAAGAAAGAAAGAGGTAATTTTTAATATGCCTATTTCCACTGAATTCCCTAATACTAAGAAAAAGGTAACAGCATTTTGGAGCAACTAATTCTGGTGACAGTGCAAGAGCATACATTTACATACACACATCCAATATTTTAAAGAGTCTTATAACCAGAAGCTTCTGAATTTGCATTGCATGTGCCCCGAAATACTCAGATCCTTCCCACACACTGATAAAGAGGCGAGCAGTTGGATCCTTACTTTCCAAACACAGTGTACTTCATGTCCAGGTGCGGTTGTTTGCCGTAAGTGATGAAGAACTGCGATCCATTGGTGTTTGGACCATTGTTTGCCATTGAAACTACCCCACGGACACTGTGCTGAACAAAGGGAGAAACCTCAACGTGAATACACATCTCTGAGAGCAGGACTAACCTGTACAAAGTGCTCTGTGACCTAGAACTCTGCCTCAATACCATTATTAAGAACAAATCTTGGTTGCTAATATATTCTATCCCAATTCATAATAAGCTCTTTAAAACTGGTCTTAGAATGAAAAATTACTTTCCCTTTACTGCATGAAAAACACTGTTACAAATTCTTTGTAATTTTGTTTTCAGTGATGAAAATCCTCAAAGCTAACTTGCCAAGCACAGAAATGCCTGTTCCTATTTTAATAATACTAAGATTTCCATCCTTTATTGCAGGATTATACTTTGTTTTACAATTACAAAAGAGGTGTTTCATACAGTACAACACAATGCTGATTGTTCTCCAACCTGTAAAGAAAATTCATATGAAAACATAACTGCATATTGAGAGCACAGAAATACCTTTAGGTATTCACTGAATTCATCTTCAAACTTCTTGCCCCAGATGCTGTTACCTCCTTTCCCAGTGCCTGACAAAGAAGCACCACAGTAGAGATTACCAGATTTTCAGACTACAAAAATCCAGAAATTATGTTCTGTTATGACATTTTAATACAAAGACCCTAGATAGGCTGTGATTAGTTTGAGGCAGGGATCAAGTTCTTGTTTCTTGACACTGCATGGAGACTTAACTTTATATAAAGAACACCTATTAAGTAGCAGAGCAAAACACTGACACATCCTCAAATTAAATTCAGTGTGAGTACAAACAGACATAGAGCTGAACCAGATTTTCTCCCCAACAGCTGCCACTGTCTAGGACATTTTCCCCAAATGCTTTAGAGGCAGTGTAGCTTTTCAAGCAGAAACCATATAAAGTACAATAGCAACTGCTCCTCGTTCAACAGCTGTTAAGTCAATAGATCCATCATATTGAGTGGAAACAGCTGGAAAAACTCAAGTTTGTAGAATGCATAATTATTTAAAACCAGAGTAATGACTGCACTTCTACAAGCCCAACAAAGAAAACTAATCTCAGCATTAAAACCTCTATCACCAATGCAATAATTCTTATATTTTATTTTTATTTATTTACATTTTGGGTTTAATATTAATACTTAGAATTTTATATCTTGACATTTTATTTTTATGTACATTTTTCTATAGAGACACCCAGACAGAAGAAATTACCTAATGGATCCCCTGTCTGAACCATGAAGCCTTTTATATTTCGGTGAAATACGCATCCATTGTAGTAGTTACTCGCACAAAGAGCCAGGAAATTCTATGGAAATCAAACAAACCATATTAACAAACAACTGAAAAATAGTATCATCTTACTAAAATGACAGAATTGGCAAGACCAATGCTTTTACCCCTGCTTTGCATTGTGACCATGTGAATTCCACAGAGTATTGCCACAGAACAGTTACAAACAAATCATAGTTAATAAACTCCTTTGACACTGTCACACATACACAGAATTTTAAAGGTTAAGTGTAAGGTTGTCTGACTTGAGGAACAAACAAAAAGCCTGAGATATGCTCTAAAGTATCACTGCCATTCAACATCTTTATTTTGTACATGTAATTCTGTAATCAATAACTTTATGCCTCAGTTTTTTCGTTAAAAAATAAATTATTTCAATTTAAGTTTATTGCAGAAAGGAGAACCCGGGGCCTCTGACAAACTCAGAGTCTCACTCTTTTAAACTAAAATCAAGTCTCTGAGAGTGTGAGCGAACTCATGAAAATTTGGGAATCCCATGCTATGTGCCACATTTCCCCTTGGGGGCAGAGGACACTTTGGAAGATGCTGGAACTTCGAGAGAAGAGTCCCTTAGCTAGTGAGAAACGGGCATAAAAACTCTAGGGAGCATGACACAGTGCACAAGTTCCATGAGTGGAACAGACACTGTACCAGCTTAAAATGTTAGTATTCCATTATGTGAAAAGATGAATTGCAAAAGCCACTCTACCTCCTCTACAATCTTCACTATTTCTACTGCTTTGTTTCAACACTAGGCAATCCTGCTCTTGTATTTGACTTACTTCACAAGTCTTTGGAGTACGCTCACAGAATAGTTCAATTTTAATATCTCCTACATCAGTATGCAGCGTGACAGCCTGAGCAAAAAGCAGAAAATAATTAAATCAGCAATGAACTACTAACAGACTCAGCTTTATTTCTCAGTCTCACAAAGAACATAAGCAAGTTCCCATTGCATATAACCACTGTTTCAATATTTGGCCATAAGCAAGGCTACTGTCACAAACCTTCCACATTTCCAGTAAAATCACCAGAAAGCATTCAGTTTCATTCAGGTTCAGGACAAATCAAGTTTGCCATGGTAATGCAGAAGCTGTTTTATGGTGTTACACTGCAGAAATACATTATTCATTTGCGATTGTAAAGGTGAAGAACCAAGGTTATATCTATTTGGATGAGAGCGTGGTGCACATACCTCACTTGTTTATAACCAGAGGAGCAACTGATGTGTGTTACTTGCCTGCAGCCTTCTGGGTGATAAAGCTAGTTCAAAATGGCAGCGTATATAATCTGCCTTCACAAACAAGCAAATGTACAAAATAACATACTTTTCCTAAGAATTTATAAATTAGCTTTATAAAATTTAAAACCGCAGTTCCCTGTCACCTAAGCCCACATACCTCTGTAGGCCCAATATATCATAGTGCTCCCATGAGAAGTGCTAAACTATGCTAAAACAATTACAGTGGGGATAAGTGCAAGGAAAAATAACCAAAATCAGCATCATGTTGATACTGGCATACTACTCCAAAAGTATACAAGTAAAGGAGAGGACACAGCTGCCACAGTGTCCATGAAGGTCCTATAAAAGGTGTATGTACAGTTTAAGATATGGACACTCTTATCTCTATTTCCTGATTTGCTAAACTTTTAAAAGTCTGCAAGTATAGAAGTTTACATACACCGAAGCAGGGCTTGCAACTCGAATAATGCTTCTGTGGTAAAAGAAACCAAACTAGATTATCAAATATATACCAAAGTAGGATTAAATTTTAGGATCTTTGAAGTAAAAGTTTAATTATATTTTAGACTGATGTAAATGGACCTGTTTTCCTTTTCACAATATATTCTTATAAGTCTGAAGTTAAAACCTAAACTTTTCATTACAAATTCTTCACAGCATCAGAGTAATATGCGTAATCCTTTGAGATGCAGAGCAGCTATTCACTTTCCAAGAGGTGACCATTTCAGAAAGAATGAAAATATATAAAAAGTGCTTTTGTTCTCACCATGTCTGCTTATCAAAAAGCTGAGGCAGCTTTCTATGCAGCAATTTCCTGCAAAGAAAACATAGGAAATCAGTTGGTTTTTTTCCCGCCAACCCCCATTTCTTTTTGATTCTAAAATATTTGTGTGGTTATATTTATATGCTTTTACATCACATTTACAGTGCCATTCAAGTGACTGTGGATAAGTTTTACTTGCATTAACTACACGCCATATAAAGAAGTAGAAATTAGTACAAAAAGATCACTTAGAGAAAAGGGGTGAAGGTGCAAAACACCCTTTCCTAGGATGAAAGTTTATACTAAGCAATCAGTTTTTCCAAATATTATGACAGTTGGCAGAATAGTAAATGGCAGAAATTACCAGATAAAAGCCCCATGCCAGTACCTAATGGAAATATGATTTGGAGCCAGCTCCTGACAGCTGTAAGCACCTGCAACGGCCAGGTACCTGCATCCAAGCACAGGACCAGACTTTTTAAATCTTAGCCATATTTTAAAATAAAGCGTCTAGAATGGCGGTAATAGAATCGCAACTGTGTAGAAATCTAGAGATTTACGCGCCGATTTCTCCTCTATACCCACCCTCCCCGGTGAACCCCCGCGGAGCCCGGGGAAGCCGCCACCAGCCGGCTCCGGCGTCCCCATCGCAACCCCCTGCCCTCGGCTCCCCCTCACCCACGGCAGCCCGGAGCTGTGGTTCCTTCCCTGCCCACCCGAGGTGCCGCCACCCAGCTCGTCCACCGGCCCTCCCCGCCCACGGGCGAGGATGCTTGAACCTGCCGGGGCTGGATCCAGACGGATCGTCTGGAAGCAGCAGCTCGCCTCCCGCCTCGGGCCGGCGCTGCGGAGGGGCCACCCCAGCGCCCGGAGCGCGGCGGAAGCGGCGGGGCCAGCGCAGGTCCCGCCCCGCAGCGCCGGCCCTGCCCTGCGGGAGATGGGTGCGGTGCCACCCGCTGCCCTCCGAGGGCCCTGCGGGTCGGTGTGCCGCGGGAAGGGTGATGACGATCCAGCTCCGCGCCCTGGGTGCAGGGCCGCGCTGACCCGGCCGCGGGGCGGCATCCGCAGCCCGAGCGCTCTCCGCTGCTGTTCCGGCCAGTGGGTTACCCAGGCTCGTCCGGGCCTGTTTTCCCCCTGTCCAGGTCGTCGCATGCTGCTGCCTGGCACGGCGCTGCTTCGCCGGCCTCTCCACCGCATCCGTGCTTTGGGCCGCCTGCCCGCCCGCGCCCTCATGGACCTCAGGGAGCTCGTTTCTGCCCTGAATGACTTCGCACCCCTCTCTCTGGCGGAAAGCTGGGACAATGTGGGGTTGCTGGTGGAACCAAGTCCTCCCCACACCGTGAACACCCTTTTCCTTACTAATGATCTCACTGAGGAGGTGATGGAAGAGGCGGTGCAAAAGAAGGCAGACCTTATTCTTTCTTACCACCCTCCTATATTCGCACCGCTCAAGCGAGTAACGTGGAAGACGTGGAAGGAACGGCTGGTGGTCCGAGCCCTGGAGCACAGAATCGGGATTTACTCTCCACATACAGCGTACGATGCCATACCTCACGGAGTTAATAACTGGCTGACAAAGGGACTCGGTGAGATTCTGTTAAAAACAAACAAAAAAAGGTTAAAATTATTCATTGGTATATGCTGTTTTATGTGGGGACCTTTCTTCATTTTCCTTTCTTCCAGCTTTTACAGGACTTCATCGTTCTTTCTTTTTTTCCCCCACGATATTTTTCTAGTACTAAGAACCTTAAACGTATTTTAGGAAATTTATCTTGGTGATGTATACCAGATACAAACACTAGAGGACATTTTCAGATGCATGACTATGTTGGATGACTACTATTGGATGTAGCCAGAACTGGTGGAGCGTATTTATTGTCCGTTGTGGTTGCAAAGCTTAGACCACCGACTTTAAATCACCACCTTTAATTTATAAAGTACAAGATCTCATTGCTTGCAAAGGACTTAAGCTACCTAAAATTATTTTAGATTTTTATCCTGTGTTATGACTCATAGGTTACAACAGCTGTGTCTTTTCCAGTCTGTCATACAAACCAGAAACTATTTTTAGTTTTGTACAACTCTTAGGATAAAATTGATGGCGCTAAGAATGACAAATAATACATATCTATCAACTTCTTTGGACTTAAAGTAGACTCTGCCTAATGGAAACAACAGGACAAAAAGTCCTCACTTCTGGTCAGGGAAAATGGATTTGAGTGCAAAATTTGCATCTTTTTGTTGTATCTCTTTAGGATATGTGCTAAATCAGTATTAGGATACTTATCCAGCTTTATAAAACAGCAGTCTTGTACTGTTTTCTCAGGTGCCTGTACTTCGGTCCCACTGCATCCATCAACTGCACCAAGCCATCCAGCTGAGGGCACTCACCGGGTAGAATTCTGCACAGACACTGAGCATCTGGATGTAGTACTGTCCAAAATCAAAGACATCCAAGAGATCTCTTGTCTCACTACTTTCCCAGCCAGGTATGTCCTCTGCTCTCTAGTGTTGTACTCTTTCTGTTTGAAACAATAAGTTGTTGTAATTGTACTTTACTATTGTAACCACTTTGTTCCTCTGTGCATTGCTGCTGTATTTTTCAGCAGAGACCTAGAAACTTAAGGAATAATTGTCCCTTTCTGATCAATCTATATCGTGCTAAATGGTAACTGCTACTCTGAAGTCTGGCATCACATAGATTAGAGGTGGTAAAGAGGAGTATTAACAGGAAATTTGATGAGGTCAGATGAGTTAATTTCCCATATCTGTTTTTTCCACAAGAGTGAACTAGGCTAGGCTATTCCAATACCTTCTTTTTTCCTTTCTCAGTGGTTAATCAGCCACTGAGGCAGAATAGCTTTGTTTTATAATTACAATGCTGAAATTTGATCTAGTTCTTAGCAAGCACCAAGCATATCTTTCCTCAGGGTTGAAGGTGAGGAGCAAACACGAGTCACTTTGAACTGCTCTCAGAAAGCACTGTTGGAGGTGGTGGCATTATTGTCCCAGAACAGCCTTATTTATCACAAGATGGAGATTCTCTTGCTACAAAAGGTAACAAAATCATGAATTACTTCCTGTGAATGTATTACTTGTGTGTGCTGAGTGTCCTAAACACTGTAATGCAGCAGTCAGTAGCATCACAGGTTTCCAGTGCTACTCCATCAGTGCGCTGAAATACTGGCTTATGGGGATTTGAAGCCACACATGGTTTCCAAAGCAATGAAAATATTTGTGGCCTGTGCTAATTCTAAAATCAGTTACAATAGCTGTTGTAATTAGTATGTTACATTTGAGGACATCACACATATTTTTGTAAAGTTCAGAGACATTCCTGAATGCCCGATATACTCACCTTTGTACAGTATGGAAAGCAATGCAAGCTTCTGGAGTCAGCTTTCTCACAGTAATTTTAATTTCTTTTCAGCCTCTTCTTCCCCACACTGGAATGGGACGTCTGTGCACACTGAGCGAGCCAGTCTCCTTGTCAGACATAATTGAGCGTATCAAAAACCACCTAAAATTGCCTCACATCCGCATAGCCGTGGGAATGGGCAGGACACTAGGTAAACAGGCCTGCAAGTAAGGCTGTCCCTTAGAACTGGTATTCCAGGAAGATAAGGAGCATGAGTGTGTGTGTGAGAGTGGGAAATACTGCTCTGTCTTAAACAGGTTTACTTCCAAGTACTATGAAGCAATGCTAGGAAACAGCGTCTTAGAATTTACACAGTACAATCACAAGAAAGAATCTCATCTGTACTTTTAGTTGGAAGTTCTGTTTTACGCTGGTAGACACAGTGAAGAAGGGACAGCCCAAACCAAATACAAGATGTTCTGTTTCATAATTTATATAATTACTAAGATTTTATTTGCTGCCCAGGATATCAGACACAGCGGTGTACTGTTTCATTGTACATTCCCTCTTGTGGCTGAGTGTTAATTTCAAACCACCTCAAAATAGTAAGACACTTTATGGTATCCTTATGAACATGTAACCATGTTTTGATGAAAGATAAGGAAAAAAGGTGAACCAGCTCAAACAGTCAAGTCATTAGAAAAATGTAGAGCAAGCATCCTCTTATCCCAGCTACCTATCCTAATCTCCAAGGAGCACAGCTGCTAGAATTTGTGAGAGCAAAGTTGTTGAAAACTTTTTGTAACTTAGGAGACAGAAGTCTTATTAGAAGTCTCTTTGCTGTCAATTGCACTAAAAAATCCCCAAAAATATTTTGAAGCCTCTCATTATGCTGTGGGAATGAAGTGATATGACTTCACTTAAATTAACAGTAATTGCAAGGCAACATACTGTAAAACCTTAACAGAATTTGAAAACTGTGTTGTGTCCCCTCTCCTTACTCAATGTAACGTATATGAAGAATTAAATTTCCTGTCACTGTCACACATGTAATAGCTTCTAATCAGTGATCACAGCAAATGGGCAAATTTTTAATGGCACGGAGCAGTTTTCAGCTTGCATTAAGACTAGCCTTCTGACAGCTAAAGTTAGCAACTAGTATATCTCAGAGGGAAAATGTTGCCTTAATGGCATCATTACTTGGGAATCTAATGATGGCAGAACATGAAGTCCTGGAAAGCGTAGCAGCCTATTAAACGGTTCAGAAACCTAACTTAAATAACACCTCACTAGGAGAAAACTAGCCATCAGCCAGCCTCTGTCCTGTAGTGTTCTGAAAACTTTCCTACCTCTTGAAGAAAAAATAAAATCTACCTATCACAGAGGATTGTGCTGTATTATCAGAGATGTTTTAGGCCCATGACTCTTCAAACTGACAGATGCGTCTCCAACAAACTTACACTGACCCTAAAATCAAGGTAGTTATAGTGAAACAATTAATCAGTACAGACATGAGGGCTGAACAAAGTTTAACTGTGGCACCTTATGTCCTGCAGAATCGCCAGTGAAGAAAGCTGCTCTGTGCGCTGGTTCTGGGAGCAGTGTCCTGAAGGGAACAGAAGCTGACCTCTACCTCACAGGTAAGATTATGTTGCTGTTTCATTATCTTTACAAAAACAGTCACTAGAAACAACCAACCAACCAACAAGCCAGGAAAAAAATAAAAGAGTTGACTGGTTGTTAAAAGATTTGGCCAGAAAGAGTTACCTATTATTTATAGTTGAGAAATAATCAGTTAGTTATTGCAATGATAGAAGAATACCATTTAAGTAGAGATAACGTGGATTAGATGGCTGTGTGGCACAGTGAAAGTTATTTGAATTAAAACATTGTTATACATGCATTATTTCAACACAGAATCAGTGTTGATGACAATGTGTTGCAACTTTCAGTGTGTTTCTCCTTTGGCAAGACACAAGATACTCCCTCCATTCCCTGCAGAATTCCCTTATAGAAAATGGAATATAATGTAGTCTGCAAAATCTGCAAAGACCTGGTTACCTAAACTGTGCTATTAGTGATCTACATGACATTTCTTTCTCAAAATGGCAGGAGAGATGTCCCACCATGACGTTCTGGATGCAGTTGCCAATGGGATAAGTGTTATTCTGTGTGAGCACAGTAACACTGAGCGAGGCTTCTTGTCAGAGCTGCGTGACGTGCTAGCGACCCACCTACAAAACAAAATCAACATCATTGTGTCTGAGAAAGACAGAGATCCTCTCCAGGTGGCATAGGGGAAAAAACATAGGAGAGAATTCATTCAATCATGGTATCTTGCACAGACCTGTCCAACTGCAAGCTTAATGGAGGTGTTTTCAATTGGTTCAGTGCAGAATGATTGTATTGTACGGTCCCTCAAAGTTTGGGGTATATTTTGTCATGTCAGAAAAATAAATACTTGTTTTGGGCTACCAAAGGTTTGTTTACTCACTTACTGGGCTGCACTTGAATAAATCTACTGTTACTTCTTGC